ATTGCCAATTGTCAAAGAAAAGAATAAATAATAAGGTATATGAGAAAATGAGTACAATTTAGTCAGGCCAAGAGTTGGAGGGAAAGCATTTCAAGATGAGAAAAAAAAAAAAGAATGAACTCGGTTTTCAAGGAACAAAGTTCAACTGGACAGGTGGGGCAGAGGTGGTATGAGGAGTGGAAGTGTGCAGGGCCTTGAGGCCACGCACCTGAGGGCCAGAACATGCGGGGCCTGGAGGGTGATGCTGGGGACCTGGCATCTGGTTCTCAGTGCAATCAGAAACCATCGTTAGGTTTTTAGAACTTCACTCCTTATCACAGTGATCTACTTATGTGTGCACATTTAATCAGGATGCTTCTTCAGCTCTACCCCAGTTCCCTCCAAATCTTATGTAGTTTCAACATCCCAGATTTCTCAGTTACTCAATGTCCTGGACTCCAGTGACCTCATCTCCACCTCAGGTAGGCTTCTGCTTGTTCCTTGTCCAAACTACACCACCTCGAGAAATCAAGTTCCAATATTTCATTCTCTGACTATAGCCTCCCGCCAACCCTACTCTTCCACTCCCCATACCTACCAGGTCCGTCCTCCAACCTTTAAAATTTTATCCGAATAGAAACAAATGGAAAAGTAACACAATTTTATTAGAATAAGTAAAAAAATTATTCTTATTTCTCCCATCCCTGCCCAGGCATTTAGCATTTAGTCTTCTTTACACCTACCTCCATGCTGATACCCACATATGTGAACTTATAAACAAATAAAGAGCTGCTTGTTTGATTACAAAGAGTGAATCATGCTGAATACATAATTCTGTGACTTTTCTTAACCTAGAAATAAAAATCACAAACAACTCTTAAGGTCAGGGGATTGATTTCATTCTTTAAATTGCTGCACATTATTCAAGGTACAGATGCTGCCTGCGGGTACCCCTCAATGGGGATTTCTCTTGTTTGCTGCAACAAACTTGCTGATTCTGGAAAACCTTGAAGTGCGCTCTTCGGTGGAGCACACTGCTTCAGTTTTTATAGCTGGGAAAAGAACTCATACCTGCAGCCAGAAACGTCTGGGAGCAGAAGGGTTTCCCACAGCACGTTAGCAGAGGGTACCAGGTCTCAGGCCTCTGAGAACTTGAGCCATCATGCCTTTCACCACTTGGTTTGCAGCTGCCCAAGAGTATTCAAGGCAGCCTGCAGGCAGGTATTGAAGGCACCACAACCATAGGTAGGCAAGGATAATTAAGACTCACTTATGGGGCTTGGAAAGAAAAGATGGCCAGCAGAACAGAAACCAGAAGTGGGACCAATGAAAGAAACACAAGAGAATTTTAATGAAAATATAATGGAATCGCGTACTACAAAAGACTTTCAGGAACAAAAACTAAACAAACATGATTTCTTTAGAAAACAGAAAAATATCAAACAGAAAAAGAGAATGACTGCCCATGAGAACCAAATCAGTGGTCAGAAAAATCGGGTGGAAGACTGTACCTCACAGGAAAGCCGGTGACAGATACCCTTAGGAAAAAGGCAAGTTGCATGGAGGTCAGGTCCAGCCAATGAAGCAAACAGGAGAAAAGGAACATGTGGAGAGGTAACAATCATGTGAACAGTGGAAGAAAACTTTTAGAACTTAAGAAAGTCACGAGGCCTTGAATATCAAGAGTGAAGAGAAATCCTGGCAGCCCACTAGTGCTGTGGGGACAAGAGTGTTCTGGGACACTCCTGTGGGAAGCTGGAAGCAAAGACACTGCTTAGGGACACCAGGGCCCTGACACTGGGCCTCCCAGACACTGAGTTTGGTTCTCATACCAGACAGCCCAGTGTCTGATTAACGCTTCACAGGGAAACACAAAGCACAGAGATTTTTCAAGTTCCTCTAGGGTCTGGTAAACTTCCTTTGCCATCCTGTGTCACTGGTGTCTGAGTACCAACCCCAGGGACTTTGCAAGAGTCTTTCCTTTTGCAAATAACAAAAAAAAGCAACATTAATATTGTTAGCAAATGTTGGGGGGGGAAATGCAGTGTTACTGAAATTACTATATGTTACTATTTTTAAAGTATTCTTATTGATTATGCTATATCAATAGCATTTTCCTCCCTTTATCCCCCTCCGCCCTGCATCCCCCAACCCTCCAGTAATCTCCCTCCCTTAGTTCATGTCTATGTGTCATACATATAAGTTCTTTGGCTTCTCCACTTCCCATACTATTCTTAACCTCCTCCTATTTTGTACCTACCAATTATGCTTCTCATTCCCTCTACCTTTCCCCCATTCTCTCCCCTTCCCCTCCCCGTTGATAACCCTCCATGTGATTTCCATTTCAGTAATTCTGTTCCTGTTCTAGTTGTTTGCTTAGTTTTTGTTTTTGTTTTTTTAAGTTCAGTTGCTACTTGTAAGTTTGTTCTCATTTTACTGTTCATAGTTTTTGATCTTCTATTTCTTAGAGAAGTCCCCTTAACATTTCATATAATAAGGGATTGGTGATGATGAACTCCTTTAACTTGACCTTATCAGGAAGCACTTTATCTGCCCTTCCATTCTAAATGAAGGCTTTGCTGGATAGAGTAAACTTGGATGTAGGTCCTTTCCCTTTCATTACTTTGAATCCTTTTTTCCAACCCCTTCTTGCCTACAAGGTTTCTTTTGAGAAATCACCTGAGAGTCTTATGGGCACTCCTTTGTAGGTAACTGTCTCCTTTTCTCTTGATGCTTTTCAGACTCTCCTTATATCTTGAGTAACTTATGATGTGTCTTCATGTATTTCTTCTTGGATTCAACTTCTTTGGGAATCTCTGCATCCTGGACTTGCATGTCTAGTTCCTTTGCCAGATTGGGGAAGTTTTCCTTCATTATTTGTTCAAATAAGTTTTCAATTTTTTGCTCTTCCTGTTCTCCTTCTGGCACCCGTGATTCAGATGTTGGAACATTTAAAGATGTCCCAGAAGTTCCTAAACCTCTCATTTTTTTGAATTCTTGTTTCTTCATTCTGTTCCAGTTGGATGTTTATTTCTTCCTTTTGTTCCAAATCTTTGAGTTCATTTCCCTCCCTTCACTATTGGTCCCTGTTTATTTTATTTCACTTTGTGTAGCCTTCATTTCTTCCTTCATTTTGTAACTGAACTCAATCATTTCTGTGAGCATACTGATTACCATTGTTTTGAACTCTGCATCTGATAGGTTGTGTTACTTAGTTCTTTTTTTGGAGTTTTGATCTGTTCTTTCATTTGGGTCATATTTCTTTGTCTTGGTGCATCTGTTATATTGTAAGGGGCAGAGCCTTAGGTATTTGCCAGGGCAGGGCAACTCACTTCACTGCATAGTGACACTGTATGTGGGGAAGGGTCAGAGAGGGAACAATACTGCTTGCTCAGCTCATGCCTCACTTTCCATCACTTCCCAGATTGTGCTCTTTCAGATGCTGACTCACAATTGGGTGGTTTTGTGTATGTTCTAGGACCCTGTGGGCCTCTCCAATGAACTCTCCTGTGAGGCTGGGAGTTTCTCCCCTGCCACAACCTCCACAGGTTTTTACAACCAGAGATTTTGAGGCTTTACTTCCCGCACTGAAACCCTGGGTTGTGTGGTCTGTCTCACTCCCCAGTTGTTCCTCTCAGCTTATCCACATACAAATGTGGAAAATCTCATCCACGCCTATCTCTGTACATCCTACCAATTGGGATGTTATATTTCTTCTCTAACTCCTCTCTGTACATCCTACCAATTGGGATGTTATATTTCTTCTCTAACTCCTTGATTGTTAGACTTGCATGCAGTTTGATTTTCTGGCAGCTATGGTTGTTATCCTTCTTTTGGTTATGAGAGGAAGCGAAGTGTTTCTACCTATGCCTCCTTCTCAGCTAGAATTCCCCCCTGAAACTACTATATTTTGCTATTTTAAGAAAAATACTATGAAGCAGTTGGGTTATTGGGAAGTAAGCCCCTGTAGATGAAATGGAGGTCTTACATGTGAGGGGACCAGACGAAGCAGAGTCTCATTCCTGGTGGGAGAAGAAGACAAAATGTCTTGCAGAGTCTGAGCTCTGTTCATAGGCTGGACTGCACAGCACACAACTTGCCTCTTTGAATGATCTTTTGAAACCTGGGTATTCTTTGAAGAAACAGCTTTCAAGTCACTGTCTGAGAGGAATCACTATTACACAACCCCTTGTCAACTACCTCCATCCCCTTTTATAGCACCCTGTCGTGGCATGCACCGTAGGAGATGATGGGAAGCAAGTTCTTGGTGTCTCCTCTACGGCATCTCAGAAATAATGCCCCATCCTAAAGCTTCTTATTGAGCGTGCTTATTTTGATCATCTCATGTGAGTTGGCCATGGGACAACATCTTCTCAAATTTCAGTTTGTGCTTAACAGCTATGATTTTAAGTTGTATATTTAAAACCTCACAGAAATTATAAGACATCTTTGCATATACTTAAAACAATATTAAGTACATCAAGACACGGAATATCTTTAGAAAGTCTATAAATAAGCCATTATTAAACATTAATACCCAGAATATCTTCCTTTATTATATTAATACATATATATAGCAATGCAATGATATACATTCTTTAAAACCATGTATTTGGCTCATAATTAGCATAGCCTTATAACAAATTCATTTGGATGGTAGCTACAAACACACAAATAATGATTCTGCCTTCTTTTGTGTATATATAAAAAATATTCTAAAAATCAAAACAGAAATTAATCCAGAGCTATGTGAAAATTATCTAGCAAAAAAAAAGAATGCTAACATCCATTTTGTTTTGTTTTAATTGGATAATAAATTATGTTTAAAAAAAATCTTTACATAAAAATTCTAATACCACCATCTACAAATCATAAAGTATAACAACAGATGGTATCTATTTTTTACCTAATCATTTTCTAGACTCACAGTAAAAATCTATTGCTTATAGAAAATAAATTCAACAATTTATCCAAACATTGTTACATAAGAGGTTTTAAGAAACTGTAAGTAATTCTTAATACTCTCACTTTGATTCTCCGACTTTTCAAGACAATGTTGTATTTCTTTTAAACATACTTCCTGATGTTGTGCTTTCTAAATAAAAAAAGAAATAAAGATAATCAATAATGACATTCATATTAAAGAATAATCATAATATAAAAATGCATATACAATACTTGATGGCATGATTTTAATTTTTTAAAAGAAAGAGTCCTAACATTGGATGTATTTATTAAAATCTGGAATAACTAAAGCACATACATGGATGATATTTACTGTGATATAATTTGTTGTAATACATATTCACTTATGCCCAAATTATTACATATTTAACATGGTTAACTTAATAAATGGGTTTTATTGAAAACTGTTGTAATTAATTTCTCACATTTTAACATGACATTTTAATACTAGTTTTTGCCATTTTTATCTACCTAAGAATTCTTACTTATTACCATTAAAATTGCTTTTGCTGTTTTAAAACTGGACAGAATTCTAGTTTTTATACTATAAATATTTTGCTTTTAGAATCCTTGATATAAAGAACTTAATATTATAGGTGCCTTTTATTTGAAGAAAAATGTAAAACCTAATATATATTTTTTAAATATTCAGTTCATATAAATTTCCAAGTAGATCTGTTCTACTTGGAAATATTTTAGACAGACAGGCTGCAAATAATATTTAGCTTCCAACTAAACTGCAGACACCTTGAGAAGAAAAGCCTTTTATCTCCTGACCATCAGGTATTCAGTAATACTGGACGCCTTCCTCAGGTGAAGAAGCAACGTGCTAGGCTGGGCTATACAAAGCCGCAGAATGAATACAGTGAATCTCTGTGGAATATCCATTTTACTCAACATTTTGGAGGGAAAATACTAAGACAAATACACATATTATTGGGTAGAATGCAAAATGTGCATCTATTCTAGGATAACACATAAGACTCCAATCTCATTTCAGGCTTCGGGAAGGGTGGCCTGAGTCTGGCATCCACTCTGCCCCGCACTGGAACACCTGGGCAGAGAGTCTGAGGGGGCCGCTGCTGTGGGCAGGGTACTGTGGGAGACCCTGGGCACTGTCACCTAGGAGACAGGCTCTCAGGGTGCAACGATCCAACTGGAGCTAAGGAGTGTACACAAAAATAAACACTGAACTGCCCCCTGAACTGTCCCCTTGAAGGGACAGGACACATAAACTCATTTTTCAGCTATGTCAAAACTATGCTTAGAATTCTAGATTTTAACTACTGTAAAAATTATCAGGTTTAATAAAACATCAAATCTTACATCTATTCATTCTGGCAGCTTTAGCCAAGTACTGGGAGCTATTGTAGCAGAATCTATCTCGGCTTAGTGTACTTATTTTATTTTTTCAGAAGCTTTAACTACACAAAAAATAATGCATATATTTACAATATCATCAACTCTGATGGTGAATAAAAAAAAGTTTAGGAATAAAGAGAAGGCCTGTGCTAAATTCAAAGTGATAAAAATTAAACTAATATCACATGTCAAAAAAATCATTCAACTTTTGAACCTTTCAGATTTTCAATTTTTCACACACTTGGAAATGAAAAATTTGTTTTCGTGGAGTCTCCAGCTCCTGGAAAAAATAAAATATCATTATTTTATATGTCATTGTTAAGTAGAGAGTTTTCAAGTAATTTAGTCATGATTCGAGCTAGTTTTCATAGCAGCTGATGGCAGTTGGCCACTTCATGAACATTTAGGAAAAACTATTAGAAGACTAATTGAACACAGCCAGTTTGGTATTTTCACTTCGTGGCTGCATGGACCAAAACAAAGCATGCATCTTGTGTGCAGTTACAACAACAGTGAATATTTACTTAATGCCAACTTATAACTTTCTAAAATACAATATTCATTATTTAAGGCAGGTATCAAACTCTAACTCATAACAATTGCTTAAACTATATATACCTTAAAAAGGAAAAGTTCACACAGAAAAAAATAAGTAGATTATATCTGTAACTTTCATTAAGTAGCTGTCATGCAAAAGTAATATGTAGGGAAAGGACCTGATGAAGCTTTAGGGGAAATGTAGAAGCTACAAAGAAAGAGGATAATAATTTTTTTGGCATAATACTGACATTTATAATTTTTGTGATTTATATTATTTGTTATTTGTAATAGTATCAGTAAAGAAATAGCCCTGATTTCCCTTGCTGTGTACTTTAACAGTTTAAGTAAACTAACAAGATAAGAATGTTAAATGTTAATTTATTTTTTTGTGAAAATACATTGCCATACTAATACTTACACTGTTTATTTTGCAAACAAGTTGATTTTGCTCTTCAATTTTCTTTCTAAGCTTAGTTTCCAGATCTAGTATTTTAATTTGTAAAGCCCTCTCTCTAGATGACATTTTCTGTACTTCTTCAGAAACCTGTAATTTTCATTAAAAGAGTAAAGTAACTAAACGTGCTTTCTTTAAAGTATAATTTAAAGCCCTGACATAGTTATCCTATACCTCCACTTTCCAAACAGATATTAACTGGTGCTAGACAACTTAATTAGAACATGTTTAAAGTTGTTCTCTCATAAAGAAGCACAGGTAGTAAGAGTATCTGCAAAATAGAAGAGGGGCATGCATTTGCACTGCTCCGTGACGTCAGGGGGGCTTTCTCCAGCACAGTATTTTTATGCCTTACTGAGGCCACTTTATGTTTCACAGTATTTATATTTCCCATGGTGTCTAGAGTGGTGCTGGAACACAGGCTTCTTATTCATTGCTGGATATAGACTTGGGTAGATCAGGGCACGTGGTATCTGCATTTCACACACACAAGGGATTGATTTTTCATTCATTTACTTTCAAAATGGTCTGAATTTGAGTTCTCATTTATCTCTGACTTTTTATTTAGTAGAAAGTCTAGCTTACCTGTGTTCATCCAAGGACTCAGATATGTGGGGGCCTGTTTACAAGAATGTTGGGCTGGGGCCTGAACAATGAGAGCAGAGGCAGGAACTAGTTCAGAACAAGGAGCTAGTGGGAAGGACTGTCCTCTAATCTAACACCTACGAATTCCATTCTAAGCCATGATAAAGTGATTTACAAAGATGTCCTGTGTACAGATTCTGAGCCCTCATAACAAATGTCCCCACCCGTGACCATGTCCCTCAGGGTGGACGATGGTGAAAGTGTAGTGACAACACTCCTCACAGGACAGGAACTGGGGACAGCTCCACTGTCCACTGCAGCAGGAGAGAAAGGACAAGACGCACACATCTCTGGGGACTCTGAAAACTTTCAAGTAGGCACCTGAAAGCACGTAGCATTTCCAAAGTCCACTTAGGCTGAACCCCAGGTAAAGTCGCTTTTTATTTTCCTCCCAAAGGTTGGTAGTGCTGAGAAATCTGGATTATAATTCTACCACTGGCAGTAAATTTTACTTAGCTTTTATTCAATGATGTGTTTTTCAATATCAATTTAAATCAGTTTCTCAGTGTTAAATGATATATATATATATATATATGTATATATATATATATATATATGTCACTTGCAATGTAAAAGCCACATATCAAAGATATCAAATTTTACCTGACACATGTGGAATGGCCATTAGTAAACTTTGGAAAGACCACGGGTAGAAGAGAGTTTAAAGGGAATGATTCAGAATTTGGTATTAGACATGTTAAGTTTGAGATGCCGCTGTTAAGTGAAGATGTCAAATAAGCACCAGAATGTGTGAGGCTAGAATTCAGGGGATAGAGAAGTGAGGGGTGTGGATATCCATCTGAGAGTCATCAGGGAACAGATGATCTCTTTTTAGCATCATTCAGTCCTGTGAGGAAACTCATCATCCCCATTTTATCAATTAAGAAACTAAAGTTTAGGGAAGTAACTTGTGCTGGGTCAGGGTATAATGTACCAGAGATAATTCAAATACAGTTCCTGCTGGACACCAAAGCCCACCTCATGTCCTTTCAAGAATACATTTCCAAATCATAAGTTTACCTCTTCTTCGAGATCTCCCCAAATCCTTTCTCCTCGCCCCTGGGTTGAACAACCTTGCACCCTGACTCCACTGTAGCACCTGCATGCTGGATGCCGCTGGCTTTGTTCACGGTACCTCCCCCCCAGGAGCCACGTGTGTCCTGAGGGCTGAGGCCAGGTCTTACTCATCTTTGCATCTCAATGACTAGTAGACACAGAGTAAGATATTTATGAAATGCTAACCAGATGGGTTTAACTGGAATTTAGTTCTTAAATGTATTTATTTATGCAATAATTTTTCCCAAAAGGGAGTTGAGCATTACAGCTCACTGGATCCTAATTGAAACCAAAGTGTTCAATAATTTTCACATTAGCTTTGGTTTTATTGTTTTAAAAGGGAAGTGGAGGGAGAATGAATATTCCTTCAAAGTGTTTTCCATCCTACTCCTTACCCTGCCACATCACCATTATCTGGTAAAGCAACACTGGACCAGTAATGTATCTGTTTGACTGGAAAAGGCAAAACTAGGTAAAAAACAAAAATGTAATTGCTCCCTTTACCCTGTCATCAGGATGAAAACAATAACTATAGGTCTGGCAAGATGAGACATTGTCTGTTTAAAAAAAGGACTCTTTGGTAAACTAATTAAAAAGTTTCTAAATAAAGGCCCTCTGTACCTTTTGTCTCCCTTCTTCTAAAGTGGCCTCCAGCTGTCTAGCCAGTGCTGTGCATTCCGCAGACTTCTCTTTAAACTGAAGGTTGCTCTGCTTAAGACATTCTTCTTGGTTCTCCAGCTTCTTTTCAAGCTCTTTATTTTCTGCATCCATCTGTTCTAATTTTCTTTTTACAAAAACATATATTTTAAAATTATAGTGCATAGAAATGAAGGTAACACCAATTCTAAGTCAATTTAATACTTACTGTTTAAGGTTTTCACATTTCAACTGAATAAGATAATTTTCTTCCTCCAGAGAAAGCTTTGTCAGAAGGTTGTGATTTCCATCAAACTGAAAGAGGAAAAAAATTTTTCTTAGTTATTTTCTTTATAATCCATTTCTGAAGAAATGTGTAAGTTTTATTGTTAGAACAGTTAGAAAAAACAAGAAGGCAGCCCTGGCTGATATGGCTCAGTGGGTTGGAGAATCTTCCCATGACCGAAAGGCTGTGGGTTCCATTTCCAGTCAGGGCCCAGGCCAGGGGTGAGGGCTTGATTCCCGGTCTGAGGACCTACAATCCCTGGTCTGGGTGACTATGAGAGGCTACCAACTGATGTTTCTCTCTCACTCGGATGTTTCTCTCTCTCTCTCCAACCCACTCCCCTTCTTTCTCTAAAAGCAATGAAAAAAATGTACTTGGATGAGAATAAAAAATTTTTAAAAACCAAGAAGGTATAAATATTATTATTACTCCTATACACAGAGACACCAAAAAAAATTACACTGTTAAAATACAAGTTAAAAAACTATGGTTCCTCATGGAAAATCATCTACTACAAATTTTTCTGAAAGATGGCAGTTAAAAAATATTATGAAAAATGTTTTATTGCAAAAGGACATTTATTAAGTGTGAAGACTTTTAAAACTGTAGAATATTTAGGGTTCCTCTTATAGTTTTTTGTTGCACCTAAATAGTGATTGATAATAGAATATCTGTGAAGTTGTAATTATGAGTAAAAACCATATTTCTGAACGTGAATTAAATTAACAAGGAAGTCAATGGAAGCTACACTTGCCTTGCTAAATAGAATGTGCTTCCCATTGCTTTAAAGCTGTATTTAATTAAATAATCTCAGAAGCAATGAAATTTCTCAAAATTTCAATTAGTAACTTAGGTTATCTATGTAATTTGACATTGTCCTAGACAATGTTCTTTAAAATCTCAAGAATTTAAATTCAGCAAAGTTTGGTTTGCATGTTTTTAAAAACAGGATGCATTTCCAAATTAAAATTCAAACATTTGGAGGATAGGAAATCATTCCTAAAAATATTTAGCAAATGAAGAAAAATAGTTGCTATCATCCTTAGACATGCTTCTTTGACAAAAAAAAAAAAAAAAAAAAAAAGTACTTGATTAAAACATATATTTAGCCCTGGCTGGTGTAGCTCAGTGGATTGAGTGCAGGTCTGTGAACCAAAGGATCACGGTTCGATTCCCAGTCAGGGCACATGCCTGGGCCGCAGGCCAGTTCCCAACAGGGGATGAATGAGAGGCAACCATACATTGATGTTTCTCTCCCTCTCTCCTTCCCTTCCCCTCTAAAGATAAATAAATAAAAATTTAAAAACATATATTTACTAAATGCTTACGATGTGCTTTGTACTGCATTAGAAGATGGCTATATGGTAACTAACAGGGCATCTGTGATCCCTGTTCTAATGAAGTAAAGACGTTTATGTCAAAAAAATTAGAAATAATCCAAATAAAGTTGATGCACAATTCTAATTAAAATAAATTATAATAATTTAGATTATCCTGACATAAGAAATATGTATTTAAACATGGCACTGCTCCTCCTCTTATGCTTTTACAATATCCTCAACTGTCTAAATAAAGATTTGTATGTGTAAACTGAATCAGGAATTCTGGTTACATTTTTTTTACCATAAAATACTAAAAGAATAGCTCGCAAAATAATATTACAGTATCTGCATAAAACTGGTATTTTATCAACTGATTTAGATGAGAGCAGAATCAATCAGTCTCTGACATGAGTGCCCTCAACTGGTGAAATCATTCGTAGTGTTTCCTTAACACATCAGCAAAAGTGAGGATGACGGCTGGACACCTGGCCCTGCAGCTCCCTAAGGGTGTGGGCCTGGTCTGCACATCTGCCCTTGTGGTGCTGCAGCCTCTCCTGACACTCCCGAAGCCTCCGTTCGGCCGCCGTCAAGGACTCGCGGATGCGCTCTACCTCCTTCAGATGAGACTCCATCTGGCCTCTTATCTGAGTTGCAGCATTAGGGAGATAAGGGCAAGGATCAGCATTAATGTTTTACTATCTTAAATACTAGTTATGCCTATAATACATATTTTAGGTATAATGATTTTAAACAAGAGGATTCCACTAAATATGAATAAATATTAGGTTAGTCTCTGCTAAATCAGAACATAAAACTCAAAAGGGGGCTATACTTTAATTAGTTTTCAAAAAGTTTGTTGAATAAATGAATATAGTAATATTAGCTTGCAGGGAGAATATTTAACCTACTTAGGAAAAGAAACCTTTGATTCCTGTCATTTATATTCCAGTGTAGACATTACTAATACAGCAGGTATGGTAGTTTTCCACTATCCAACCATCGGTCTGAAGTAACTATCACCTTTTTGTCATTCAACCTGTAACTGAGATATTTCAATTAAAGCGGCCTCGCTGCACTCATCTTCATCCAAATCAATGGAGTTTACTGTATATTATTTACAGAGAGCTAATATTATCTGTCCTCAGTAGACTATTTCATTGTTAATGTTATTACAAAGTAAATGCCTCTAATTTTATCTATGTTAATTTCTCTGGCCACTGCAGTTCCTCAGCATGGCACTTTGGCAGAGACATGACAAGAAGCAACTCTAAGATGCAGACACACGGCACCTAGGATGTCCACAGGGAGGAAAGCAAGAGCTGGCCTCCTTCCCTGACCCAGGAACCGCCTAGGGCCACTAGGCAACATCTGGCAGGCTTAACGCAAAAGACACAACTAGGACAAAGCGCACCTCCCCAAACATCAAAGAGCCTGTGAGAAAATGAGGGGATTTAAAATAGTCGGAAAATAAACAGAACTATTTCATTTAAAAAATGACTTTTCTGGATCACTACCAGTAAGAAACCACTGTGACCTCACAGTACCTGAAAAACTCAGGCTCTTGCTCCATCTGCCTTTCAAAAAGGTTTTTAAAATAGGCTTTTATTTACAGTGCCGCCTAGCAAAAGAGAAGACATTTGCATTGGTATGTCTCAGGAGAAAAAGAGACCAAGAGACAAGCAATGATTTCTTCTCTAGTTTGCTAAAAATAGGAAAAGCAATTCTAAGTAAGTAGTAAGCTGCACTTTGAAGGGTTACCTATCTACCTCTGTTTAACAGGCAGAATGCCCGCTCTGGCCGACCCCTTCACACTGTGCCTCACTTGAACTTCTCAGTCCCAAGATACTGGGGAAACCCAGCGCCAGCAGTCACCTTATTACACTCAGTTGGAACTGAACAGGAACATCCCATGACCTCTCCAGCCAGGAGCTAGCGTCCTCCGGCTTGCACTGCTTCCTCACCAAACATGAAAAGACCCAAAATGGGATGCGGTTTCATTTAAGGACTTAAAAATATTCACAAAAACATCATAACCTGCCAAACTGGCCTTCCTCTCATTCTGTTGCAATAGGGTGAAAAAAAGGAAATGATGAGGTTTTTAATATTATTTTTCTTCCAACAAAGCATTTAGAAGAGAATATTTACTTTGCTCTTTTAGACACAAAAGACCTACGACCAGAGAAACAAGGTGAAATTAAAAATTAGAAGTATTCAAATTTGCATACTTATGGTTGATGAAGCTCAGTGAAAACCATTTTTCTGAGCTATGTAAGTCTGATCTTGAGTAAGAAAAACTAAATGTTTATGCTATTTTCCAAATATTCAGGAAAAAGTGAAAAAACAGTCCTACAAACAAACACCATTTCAAGCCTGGAAGAAACATTATTTCCTCAGTAAACAAACTCCTACAAAGATTGAGAACAGATAATTCTTAGGTCTAAACTAGAGAAAATGACTATAATGAAAGATATTTGTATAATATTCATAAAGTATAGAGTATAAATCAAATATCATTTTATTATTTAAAATGTCAAACTTACCTTCTCTAATTTTTTATTTTTGTTTTTTGTTATTAGGTTATTTTCACTTAGCAAATTTTCACATCTACTTTTCACCATTTCAGCTGCTTCTTGCAACTTCTGTATCTGAAAATAGAATATATTATTAGAGTAATGTATTATTTTATCATTAGGATGAAATAAAAAGCTAAATACTCGAATTTCAATTTTGAACAAATCGTTATTTCCCTTTCAGTACCTCGGCCTGTTTCTCTAACGTTACTTCTTCCTTAAACATGGGGATCACTCAATGCTCTCCTCCAATCTATAATCTTTTTATGATTTAACTGTCTTTTCCCATCAACACTCAAAGACTCTTCCCTTGAGCTCCGCACGTTAAAGAGATCTTCATTTGCAGGTTAGAGTCACAGAGAATCAACCTCTGGTTCAAAGTAGCTTTCGTACCAACTATTTTACCCTACAAATCAAAATCTGCTCCAAAGATACCTGACTGAGTACCATATACAAGGCCCAGAGCCTAGAATATGGTAGCTCACGCAAAATATTCCTAAGGGACTAAACCCAAACAACCAGCTGGGAGACCCAGGTGATGGTCTCAGTATGGTGAGCCACAGACCTCCACTGCCTTCATTCCCACCCCGATCTGCATGACTCACTGGACAGCTCAACTCCATTTTCCCATCTGAACCACCCACATGCAGCCTCTTCCGACTTACCTACACTGTGCTCCCCTTAAGCTTTTACCTTTTGCTTGGCACTCTTCAATTCAAATGTTCGCTTCCAGTGAAATCTAACTCTTTATTGGGCAGTTTGTTACCCATCACTGACAGACCTGCACAAATCCCATCTTTCTCGCTAGGTTTTTTCTTAAATAGTACATCTCCAAAACATAAGCTTTTCTATAAATTATCATTGAATACATGCTCCATTCCATATATTATCATATATTCTTTCTAGATATTTCTTGGGAGTAAGTCTGAATTACAGTTTATTTATTGGGAAAAGAGAAGTATTGGGCTTTAAGGGCCATTGAAAAAAGTTGTTATTCTAAATCAATACCATTCAATATACAAGATATCGAAAACTATAAACAAGGTTAACAAGATCATACACAGGTTTACATTACATCTATGTAATTAATTTTGGATCTACTTTGAGGAATATCCAACACATACATAGCAATGTCTGAATCAGAAATCAGCAGAATCATCTATTTATAAAAGTATTTAGGACCTTAAGAAACATTTGGGACATAACATGTTCTATCACAAATAAGAGCCTCATGTTTCTTCAGTTCTGTTTAGTTAGATCTTAAACAAACACGGTGTTTTACATTGTCTACCAAATTTAACAAACAGTAAAATAAATGCAGTGGTCACCTGAGTTTTATACACGTCAATAAGTGTCTTCTGTTGTTTTTCTACCTCTTGCAATTCTAAGAGCTCCTTTTCAACAGAGACAACCTCATCCTTCAAAGTAGCAAGTGTCGTCTAGCAAGGAACATACGAACAGATATTACAAATCATTAAAATTCATGTGCACTCCAGTGCTATAGGATTATAAAAACATAAGTCATTTACCAACACAGTTAACAGAATAATTATTTTTGACTATATATGATTATCTAAAAAATTTAAGGATTTCAAAAATTAGTGATACTTATCAACAACTTTAAACAGTTTATATAAGTAAGACCTAATTTTAAAACTTTTAACACTTAGTGACAAAAAAAATGACATGGAAAATGGAGCAGGTTCCTAGCTGGGAAGACGCAAACCAGTTTTTTCCAAATCAATAAAAGTTTAATGCAATTTCAACCAAAAGTGTAACAGTTGGGGTGGGGGGGGTAACAAAACTAATTTTAAATTCATATAGAAAGATAAATAGGAAAGACTAATACAATTTTGAAGGGAATACTAAGTGGAGAATGTCAGTACTTATTAGATATTTAAATGTATGAAGAACTAAAATTAAGATACTAATATAAGAATATAGAGATCGATAGAATAGAAGATGAAAAGTAACTAAAATTATATTTATTATATAACAAAGGTTGGATTTTTAAGTCAATGGGGAAATATGGGTCAGTAAACAATGGTAGTAACACATCATTTAACTATTAGAAAAAAATAGATTATTTGCCTAATCCAACACTATTTTCATATTTGTTAAAAGTAAAAAAACAGAACTATAAAATTTTTCACAGAAAATATTATTGGATATATAGATAGCAAAAACCCTACTAAGCATAACAACAAAAGAAGATATCAACAACTATAAGGATCTGAGATTTTACCCTCTAAGTTTACAAGTTAGATTAGCAGTTTCATGGATGCCCAACGGCAGGCATGAGACTCCCAGGTCAGAGACACGGGTCATTATGACCCCTGGCAGTAGCAGTAGCCAGGTATCAGCATTTGTGTTTGTCTCTAAGCCCCAGTTCCCACAGGGCAACACAAAGAGGCTGCCAGATGACACCTGTACATATAGTGGAATGCATGATGGAGGAGCAATGCTGAGTTTAGGTACTTGAATCTCTTATAACAGGAGTCATCACGTCCACCCTTTGGTAGAAGGAAACATCGCTATGTTCCAGGCATTTGGAAGCAAGCATCACTGTCTTTGTCTACATATACACCCTTGAAAAGACAGCCTGGATCCGCTGGCAGTCAGTGCCTCTGCTTGCAAGACACGTGGAAATAGAGAGACTCCCAACAGAAGCCATGAGAATTAAATATATATATATATACACACACACATAAATATACATACATACAATATACATATATGTGTATATATATCCAAAATTTCATAGTCCCCCCAAAAGTTTCAAGAGGCAAGCAAAATTTGAAAAAAGTAATAAATTATGATAAAAGATAATATCCTCAATATATGGAATTTATATATGTTAATTAGGAAAAAGGACATAAAAGATAATGAATAGGTAACTCAAAAAAGCAGAAATATGCATCAGCAATGAATATATAAAAAACGTTTTCTATTCATTAAAAAAATGCCCTGGAGACTGGATAGTCTTCTAGTACCGAAAAAGACAAAAATTCTTTCCTTTGTAGAGCTTACATATTGCATGTATATATAGAGAAAAACAAGGGGTAGATGGGACCAAAAAAAAAAGAAGCCAAGACTAAGAAGTGAAATATATCATACATAAAAGCAAGAGAGGAATGAAAAGTTGGGGGTGGGCCAGAGAGGCCTCCTGAGAAAGGGACTCTTAAACAAACACCAAAAGGAAGTGCGGCTCTGAGGGGAGAAGAGTCCTGTGGAGAAAGGCAATGGTGGGCGACGTCCTGACCAGTCAGGGAAAAGCAGCAAGGCGGCCATGTGGCAGAAGGGAAAACAAAAATGGGAGGAGAGGAGGTGTGAGAAGTAGTGCGAAGCCAGATGGTGTAAGGCCCCGTAGATGTTTACTCTATCCGCCAAGATACCACTGGAGGGTTCTGAGTGACATGGTTACATTTTTACAGAAACGACTTTACTGCTACACTGAACGCTTATTGCAGGGTCAAGGACAGAAGCAAAGAGCTAGCAAGTCAGTGAAATGAGCAGAGGATGGCGGCTTGAACCAGGATAATGGCAGGGGTGCTGGTGAGAAGTGGCCCAAGCCTGGATATATTTGAAGTAGATTCGCTGACAGACTGGAAGCAGATGTGAGAGAAAGCAGTCAAGGATGACACCAAGTAAAAGAAAGGGTGACTGCCATTGAATGACATGAGGATAGTGTAGGAGAAACTATTCTGAGGAGTGCAGGAGGTCTATTTTGGACAAAAAATTGCAATATCAATTAAATATCCTAGTGGTGATTTCCAGTAGGCAGTAGAATATATGTATGGAATTTAAATATCCTAGTGGTGATTTCCAGTAGGCAGTAGAATATATGTATGGAATTTAAATATCCTAGTGGTGATTTCCAGTAGGCAGTAGAATATATGTATGGAATTTAAATATCCTAGTGGTGATTTCCAGTAGGCAGTAGAATATATGTATGGAATTCGGGGACAGAGCCCAGGCTAGAGATGTAAATGTGTAAGCCTCTAAGGTATAGATGCTATTTAAGGGATGAACAGTAGATGAGATCACCTATTAAATCTGAAGAGATTTGTTTCAAATTGCCTAATACTGGAAAAATACAGGGACCCATTTATGATGGATAATTTAGAAACATATCCCACCAACATTAAAAATGGGCCAATTCCACTCTAGAAATGTATCTGAAGAAAACCGATATGCAAAAAAGGTTCAAAGGAACTACCCACATTTTTAATTACAAAAAAATGGAAATAGCTCAAACCCCCAAAAGTTATGTACATGCTAACATAGTAACTTTAGTTATCTCTGTTGTGAGCTTACAGGTGATTTTTTTTTAAGAATTTATTTTTATTTTTATTTTTATTTTTTTAATTGGCACTAAAACTATTCTTATTTCTTTTATTTTTTAAATTATATTCTTATTTTCTGTAACTATTTTTTTATTTCATTGATTATGCAATTACAGTTGTTCTATTCCCCCCTTCATTCCCCTCCACCCTGCACTCCCCTCCCCCACCATTCCCCCCTTTAGTTTATGACCATGTGTCTCAAGTTCTTTAGATTCTATATTTCCCCTACTATTCTTGCCCTCCCCGCTGTCTATTTTCTACCTACCATCTATGCAACTTATTTTCTGTACCTTCTCCCCCCATCTCCTCCTCCCACTCCCCTGTTGCTAAGCCTTCATGTGATCTTCATTTCTGTGGTTCTGCTCCTAATCTAGCTGTCCTTTTAGTTTGCTTTTGTTTTAGGTGTGGTTGTTAATAACTGTGAATTTGCTGTCCTTTCACTGTTCATCTTTTTTATCTTCTTTTTCTTAGGTAAGTCCCTTTAACATTTCATATAATAAGGGCTTGGTGATGATGACCCCCACCCCCACATACAGAGTCACAACCCAGCAACCTGGGTGGCCCCGCCCTGGTAAACAACTAAGGCTCCACTCCTCATACCTACAGGTGATTTTTATTTTGTTCTCATTTTGTGCTTTTCTGTTTTTCCAACATTCCATAATAAATAACTAGAACTTTCTAACCCTCCAAATAAATTTTTCTTTTTTTTTCAATAGAGGAGGTCAGTCACTGGGTCTTAGAAGCAATACCAGCTAACTTCTTTTTTATTTCAATCTTTAAAATCTAAAATTATTCTGAAGTCATTAAAAGTAACAAAACATGACATCTAGGCAGTTTTACATTACAAATAACATGCCAAACATACCTCAATTTTTCTTAAACAAAATCCAGAAAATAATGTATTAAAAGTACATGTTTCTGAGTTATTAAAAGAAAATATAAATTCTAACAATGATTTTATACCTATATAATTTGCCATTAATTCTACTACCATGTAATTAAAAACCAGATTTATAATGAATGAAATATCCTTCTAATCCTTTCTTCCTGAAAGATATTAAGGAAATTAAGAGAATAAACACAATAAATAAAATTCCCTCTTCCTAGATGAAACATTTATAGCACTTATTCAATAAATATTCATTGAGAAATAAGTATATGCCACACCTTCCCTGGGCATCTTCTGCATACAAACATGGGAGCTTATAAGGAGAGCTTCATCCTAAATGAGAAGATTTGGGGAGGGGAGTAGATTTTGAGCTGACCTTTAAAGGAAAGGTAGAATTTAGACACTGAGTAAAATAGCATTCCACACTGTAAGGCTAGTAAAGCTATAGGAATCGATACAGAAAAGCATGAACAAATGGCATGAAATGAGTATTCGTATTTGGTTAGAGCTCAGGATAACAGTATACTACACTCCCTCGTCTCCCTTGCAGCTATGTGGGGTCATTTGCCTAAATAAGTAGAAGAGCCTAGTGGTATGAAACTTTCAGCAAGCTTCTCTAAAGGAGAAGAGCTGGAAAAATGAAAGGGAGATAATCCATCATTTTTCCTCCTTTCATCTTGATGCTTGAAACTTGGCTACAATGGCTGGAGCTCCAGCAGCCTTTTTAAATTGTGAGGATAAGATTCACAGCCTAAGAATAGCAGAGAGCTAAAAATAGAGGCTAGGTTATCTGATGCTGCATCAGCTCTGAACTGCCAACTCTGGCTTTGTTTTACATGAACAGCTTCGTTTCAATTTTCTATTTACTGTCCTCCAAAATTAACATTATGAATGTTATGAATTAACATTGTGAAACTGAGAGTAATGCCATTGCTTTTAGTCAGGTGATGTGCATCTCTGATTGAGAACTCAAATTGTTCTCAGAAAATATAAAAGCTTCTTCCGATCTCTTTTCTGGTACATGTACAAACCAATCACCCCGTGGACTTGATTAAGTTGGAACATTCTTTCTGGTTATGAAGCAGCCAAGAACATACTTTCTGGTTTCAAACAGACCATGGCTGAGGTTATACCCTATCATACCATGATACCTAGAAATAATCTCATGCATTAAAGTTAATGTAATTTTGGATTGTTCGCTTAGCTGAAATTGGAAAGTAAATACATTTTTTTAGGTTGAGACAAACAAACAGTTATTCAACTTCTTAAATCTTATTTAATACTGCTGAAAATAATTTTAACATGTATCTTTGTACATAACTTTAAAATTTAATACCTATATACAAATGTGTGTGTGTGTGTGTGTACACGGAGGTTACCTATTATAATGACACTTAAAACTCTGAGAAACAAAGGACGCAATGAGACAACAGCATCATATTAAACATACTGTTATTCCAAACTACTTGTACTAAGAGGATGAAGCTGTCATTACACAACACACACACACAAACATATGATACCTTTAATTTTGTATTTTCAAGATTCAGACTTTCACTTTCATATTCAATTGACTGAAGTTTTCTAAGAATCTCTTCACATGAATTTTTTCCATTGTCCTCCATTTTCTTCAGGTCTTCCAAAAGATTATTGATTTGCCTTTATTAAATAAATGATATATTTTGTAAGATTATTAAAATTTTCACCCAAATAATAAATGCATCATAAGTGTGTTTCCGAAGTTATTTTGGTAGATGTGCTGTTTCAAAAGTTAACGGAACTCACAGCACAAGGGAAATAGGGAGCAATCATCTATATAAAGTTCCTACCCAAGTAACCTTGATTAGAAATAACTACCCACTGATAATGCCAATGAAAAATTACACAATATTCTCTTTGCTATTCAATAAAAGATTTAAACTATCATCCATATATGTCTGTCTATCTCTCATTCACACACATACAATTTTGGGGCAAAGGTTAAATAAAGGATCAAGCGAGGCAATAATTAATCTTTCAAAGCAAATTATCTGTGCTAGTTTTCAATAATAATACTGAAGAAATATACATAAAATAAGACATTTAAAAGCAAATATGCAGAGTTCACTGTTTATCAATAATATATTTTAAAACATAAAATATATGTATTTTTATAACTGATTTTCTTTGTTATGCACTTAAAGCATTTTAAGGAATAATAATTTGGAGGGTTTTGAAGGCATTTATGCTTTTCTTATAAAGTGTAGTATGATAAATTCTTACTTATACATCCTCGTTTAGTAGAAAATACTACTTCCACTTTAATACAGTTAGTTTTAATATTTACTGCAAATAATAGATGACATATAGTCAAATACCAACTATTAACTTACAAGTTCAAAATTTCAAAATGTGAACACCAAAGTACTTTTAATGGATAATCATTGTTGTTGTATTTTTAGAGTAAGAAAATTTTATAGAACTATAAATAGAAAAATATCCAATCATGCTGACAACACCTTTACCACTTGTACTCCAGAAGAAGCAAAATACAAGCCATGCAAAGGAAAAGATCTGAAAACAGTTATTACAAAGTAAAAAATTCTAAATTTTCTCTTACTTTTTCATTGTCTCAATCTGAACTTCCAATTCAGTTTTTTCTATTACAATTTTCTCATAATGACTTTTCCAGGCATTGGAAGCTGAAATTGCTTCAGACAACTTGGCTTCCTAAAAAACACACAAAGTACTCATCTTGTAATTTAATAACACTTTGGTTTTGTTCAGTCCCCTAATCACAAATATGTTATAAACAAGGAAACATCCTGTAAAGCATGAAACTTTTGTTATAGAAAATTACAGTGCATGACTCTGAATGTAGCAAGACTTTAAACTTCAATAATACCTTCATGTTACTATTATTTTATAAGCACATAGTGGCAGTTCCAGCTTGAAACTTTAAGGCCGTTGCTGTAATTGTTTTCAAACATTTCCAAATTAATGAAGATGATTCCCTACTGACTGTACTTTTCATTTTTCATTCTATATGTATAGAAGACACAACCACATAAGCATCAAAGGAGAAAGAAACCCCCGGTGTACATAGGAACTACCTGCAATTCCATAATTCCACAGCATTTAATAATGCAGCCTTATTTTACAATGATGTCTATCTGCTTTGTAGAGGTCACCCCACTGGCCTCCGAACACTGTTACTGTTAGCAAAGAGATGAAAATGGTCCTGGTGGCTTATGCACTCTGAACATGAGCTCCCAGGGTAGAGATGTTTGTTTGTTTTGTTCATTGCTAGGGCCTTGAATGTTGCCTCGCATAGAGCAGACGCTTAATAAATGTCAAATGAATCTACTCTTTACAAATCCACTCAGAGCTGTATAGCCATTGTTCACATCTGCATTCTACAGAAAAACAAATTCACTGGCATGACAACAGTGCCAATAATCATTAATCAGAAGATCCAGAAGTACAGTAGTCCTGCCTTATTTGGAGGGGTTCAGTTCAAAGACTCTGAGTAGATGCCTGCAAACACAGACAGTATTGAACCCTATGTATACTGTTTATTGCTATACACACATATCTATGATCAAGTTTAATTTATAAATTAGGCACAGTAAGAGATAAACAATAATTAATAATAAGAGAATAATTATAACAATATACTGTAATAAAAGTTATGTGACTACCCTGATTGGTCAGCAGGTTGGGCATTGTCCTGTGGACCGAAAGGTCACTGGATTGATTTCCCGTGAGGGCACATGGCTGGGTTGTTAGTCAGGTCTAAGTTGGGGGCCTGCGAGAGGAAATGATCGATGCTTCTCTTGCACACTGATGTTTCTTTCCCTTTCTTTCTCCTTCCCTTCCACCCTCTTTAAAAGTAAGTAAATAAATCTTTTTTAAAAAAGTTATTTGACTGTGGTATCTCTCTCTGGTTCTCTCTTAAAATATCTTATTGTACCACACTCATGCTCTCTTCTGGTGATGCTGTGAGATATAAAGTGCCTTATTAAGTCAGAACTTTCACCTGTTCACTTAAAGAAAGAACTTTATGGCTTCTCTTTGACATATCTGAATTGCCAGCATCACTACTCTTGCATTCTGGGGCCATGAGAAAGTAAAATAAGGGTGACTTGAACACGAGCACTGTGACATCGTGCCAATCAATGTGATAACCGAGGGCTAAATAAATGACCACAGGTCAGGGGGCTGGACATGCTAGACAAAGGATGATTCATAACCCAGGTGAGGCAGAGCTAGATGGTGCCAGATTTCAGAACAGGTGCAGTTTAAAACTTACAAACTGTTTATTTCTGGAATTCCCAATTAATATTTACAGACCAGGCCACAGCTGACTGAGGGTAACAAACTGCGGAAAGTGACTCCACAGGTGAGGGGGGACTACTGTAGTCATGGTAACCGTGCAGCTTTATTGGGCGCTTCCTCCTTTCCTTCCAGCGTTCGTCTAGTCACTGAACAAACACTTACGGATATCCTACACACAAGACGCTTTTTAATTTATGTCTTTACATTTATATTTTTGCAATATTGAAGACTAGTATTTTATTTCCAAATTCTATGTAAAATAAATTTAATTTAAAAATATATGCACTACAGTGTTTAAGTTGGGTAATTATGTTATAAATTAAGATATTTAGAAATTTCACCTATGAAATAAACACTATGAAGAAAATTTAAGACATGATATAATGAATCGTTGTGGAACTACTTCAAAGGAAGTGGTCAAGGAAAGCACCTCTGAAGAGACGTCAATTTAAATGATCCCTGAATGATTAAAAAAGAACCACCCAGTGTGAACCAGAAAAGAACATTACAGCCAAAGGCAACGGCAAACAAAATAGTGAAACAAACAACCTGCATTAGAGGGATACTGCAAACTGTAGTATGGCCACAAACTGTGTTTTGACACATAATTTCTCTTTTTTTTTTCCTTTTTTCTCCCTACAATCATATGAAATAGGCAGTATTATTATCCCCTGTTTTAGAGATAAGAAAAGTAAGCTTAGAAAGGTTAAGTACTTTACTGAAAGTCACAAGGTTAACAAATGGAGGAGCCTTCCTCCACTATACCTGGGGCGGGGCCTGGCCTGGGTGAAGTCACACTATTTAAATGGGAAAGTCCCAAGAATGTGAATGACTCGGTAAGTTTTTACCACTCAGGAACATTTTCAGGCAATCAACTATGTCTACAACCTTCTAGCTTTTGAACCTGGCCCTCAGTTCTTTTACTTAGTTAAATTTGTCTGAATGTAGGTAGGCTAAACATTAGTCTTAAAATGTTAACACTTGAGCTTATAAAATATTAAGTTGTTTTGTTTACATAAATGTTTGTGCAAGTCTTCATTTCCAAAAACCTCTAATAACTCTGTAAGTCTTAACATAAGTTTCTAAGAAGTGGAATACCACTGGAACACTAAAAAGAGTAAATATTTTACTAATTGGTATTTGAATAAATAAAATTCATTAAAAACAAAGCACTAAGTCCATTTTCAACTTTGTACTACACACAAAGATAACTTTCACATGGTGTATTTACGTCAGCAGATGGTTTTAAATGCATTACAGAGTCTAAATGAATTACTGAATAAAGTCATATGGTCCAATAACATAAATCAGCATTTCCCAAACCAGTGTTCCTCAGAACCAGTTCCAAGAGTTGTTTTGTGGGTAAAAGAAGAGTTCTGTGGTTAAATAAGTGGCGGAAAACTCTGGGTTCAATACCCTTCCTGACACCACTTTACTTTTACTAACAAGTCTTCTCAGGGCCTCTGATATGCTAACGTGCACTGTAAATTTCCCAAGGGAAGTATGTGTGAAACGTTACCCTCACACATAACATATTCTTTAAGTCAAGTTTCCAAGGAAATGCTGATACAATTCAATATGTAAATTTGACATTTTATGTAATCTTTCAAAATAAAGATTAGAGCAAAAAACTAGGAGTAGAGTTTTCCTAGCGTCAGCATATTAAGAGAAGCAACATGACATTAACTACGTAAATCAAGTAAATAAAATAGTTCAGGGAGAAAAAAATGTACGTACTAACCTGATCTCGAATCTGGGACGTAAGGTTTTCAATGTCTCCTGTAAAATGTTCAAGCCGTTGCTTGTAAACTTTGGATGCCTTTTTCAGGGCGATTGTTTTTCGCCTACTCAATTCTTTCATTGCTACAGTCTCATGCTTATTCTTTTTCAACTGCAAGTTCCATTGGGATATTTTGGTCTCTAAGCTCTAAAAACAATTAGTAGCAATTAAACTAGTAGCAATTTTAGAATTCCAATGGTTATGTAAACATTGCAAAAATATGTAAAGAATCTCCCATGTGAGGTTAGAGGGTTCATCCTACGGGTGATCTCACCAATGTTTATCTGTAACCAATTATAGAATGCAAATTTAAAATACATAAGACTAGATAAAACTAATGCTCCTCTTATTGCAGATACCAATATCAGTGATTATGGTTCAAACATAACTTCCTTAAAACGGCTGTGCTTAACAGAACTCTAGACTATGACACATGGTACTAGTTATTTCAAATCAAAAAACAATTGTGCTGAAGACAATTCAAACAATAGGTACACAAAGCTTGAAGGAATTAGTAGCTTACCAAAAATATGATTTAAAAAAATCGATAGATCGTGAAGGGTATAGATGAGATACATGTATTTGCCAAAATGTTAACTTACAAGAATTAAGGGGCACATCTTGACACTGATAAGAGTTGATAAAGGACAATGAAAGTACTGCTTTACCCAATAAGCAGTAACTTTGTGGAAGTTACTATTCTAAGACTGAAGAAGATTTAGGGTAAAGGAATGTTCGAAGGTGTGTTTCTATCCACTGAGTTTAATGGTGTTAAATAGCATGACAGTTTTCTTGACGTGTCTCATGACATAAGGAGAAACGGAAAATTAGGCTCAGCTGATGATAGATACAATTTAGTGTGACTTTTCTCATATTTTTTCCAAATTATTTTAAGCATTTGTATTTAAAGTAGTTGAGTATTAAGTATCTAAGAATGTAAAGACTTAAGATTTTAATGCTTTTACATGTTTGAAAGTGGTATAATACTGAAAAGAATAAAAAATTGTTACAGAATTTAGGTTTTAGTCTTCCATTCACTAGACGATCATTTTAATTTGAAAAAATCAAACAAGTCATAGTAGAAAATGGGGGCTTTGTTACTTAACTCTGATAAACAATTTCTGCTTCATAACTTTTACTGAAGTTATCTCAATATCTATTGAGATATTTTTACTGTTGTTCAGTTAGTCGTCCTGCCCTTTTCCCCATTGCTCTCCGTACCCCATCCCCCACCGTCCGTGCCGTGAGTCCTCTGTCCATGTTCCCCTGCTTGCCCCTTCTGCCCCTTCCCCTTCTTCCCCGTTATCCCCCCCCCTTAAACAAAATTTAAAGACTTGATTTCTTTGAAAAGTGATTAGGTAGACAAAAAGAAGCAAAAGATTCTTAAGTCGTCTTTAAAAATCTATGTTAAACTAAACTATCCAGGAATGTTTTAATGAGCCGTGGGGCAAAAACAGGAAGTGTGCCACAGTGAGTCTCCTTCGGAGAAGCAAAGACCCCACAGGCGACACAGCTGTCATTCCTCCGCCAGACCACAGGGTGTCAGCAGCACGCCAGGAATAACTGCTCTAGTTTTAAAAATCTTTTTAAACACTAAAGGCAAAATAAATTTTTTTCAAGATTCCAGTCAAAACTTTCTCACTAGATTACCAACCCCACACTTAAACACTATTATGGAGTATACTGAAACTCTCAAATTATTTTTATGGTTTCAGAATAAATAACCCCTCACAGTGTTCTGCCAAATGAATAGACATATTTAAAGTCAACTGCTTGCTTTTTCACATTTCCAATATATACTGCATGTTATAAAAATCATTATTCTTTGTATCTTCTAACATGTGAAAATATTCTAATGCTAATTGCTATATGATAAAAATCTAGGAAAAATGGGCTCAAAGTATCTTTGAGGTAGTTCTCAGAGAATAATAATGTAATTATAAGTGTTTATTTTTAAAGAAACCAATATAAGGAATCAATTAAGCAATACTAAAAAACTGAGATTAACGTAGCCAAACTGAGTTCCTTGTGTTTTTACTCAAAAATAATAACTTGTTAAACCCAAATTGAAGGATTAAATTCTGACCCGAAATTAATTAATTCCTTAAATTCCAAAAGTGTGTAAGATGGAATGTAAAAAAAAAAAAAAAAAACCAGTAACCTAATGAAACTTCTTTTAATAATTTCTAAACAGTTGAATTTGTAAAAGTAATTTGAACTCAAAATATCAATATTATACAGGAGACTGTCATTGCAAAATCTTGGGATTTTAACCTTACATTCTTTCTTCAAATTATCAGAAACAGAAAAAGTAATTCACCTTTTTAAAAATAATCACTGAATATGAGAAAACAATTTCTAAAATTTCCCCAACTGCTATTTGAAAACATAAAAACTGTAGTAGATAATTACTTGAGATATTAAATTACATGCATTCTCTTGTATTCACCATGATGAGCAATGAAATAGCAACTGGACACGGGGAATCTATGGGGGAACGTGCCCAAAAGCACGTGTAGGAGGACAGAGGACAAATTTTCCATCCCCTATAAGCCTGTTAGTGCCCCTTTGAAGAGCAAAAGCTCACTGGAAGAAGTAAACACCCCAAGTGTACTCGTGAAGCATGCGCCACAGACTGGAGACATCTGCTGATTCAGGGGTGCAAAAGCAGACAAATTGAACACAGGAGGCCTCACACTTTGGTAGGGTTTGTCTTTGTACACTTCTCAGAACACTGCTTGTTTTCCTTTGGCAAAACTAGTGACGGTAAATCCAAATATCTAGTGTCATATTATAGCAACCTCAAATTCTTACTGCAAGTGGCTGTGAGACTTCCTAAAAAATATTTAAACACTCAGTTTAAACAAAAAAATTCATCTTATTTATACTGCATATACATATATATATAGAGAGAGAGAGATTACTTGATTATCTAAACACCAAACTTAGGATAACTGATTTTAAAGTTATTGCCATTAGCCCTGACTGGTGTAGCTCAGTGGAATGAGCAAGGACTGCAACCCAAAGGGTCACTGGTTCAATTCCCAGTCAGGGCACATGCCTGGGTTGCAGGCCAGGTCCCCAGTGGGGAACATGTGAGAGGCAACCACACACTGGTGTTTCTCTCCTCTCTTTCTCCCTCCCTTCCCCTCTCTATACAAATAAATAAATAAAACCTTTAAAAAGTAAATAAAGTTATTACCATTAGTAACAAACACAAAAATACTAAACATTTATTTAAGTAAATATGTGTATGTACATTGCATTGATGTACAAAAACAAGACTAGAATACTATATGTCAAGATGTATCTTTGAGTTATTTTAATTTTCTCTTTAATATTATACAAATTATCCACAATAAACATAAATTAACTATATGGTGGGAAAGGTTTTCCAGAAAACTCAAGCTCTACAAATCTTTCCTAGAGTGGCACTAAAAAGAGATAGATTTTTATATTAGGATTCGGAGGCAATCTTTGGACAGCCCTGAAATCTTAACTTTCAGATCTGCCTCAAATACATATTCCTGTGGCAAAACTGAAGTTGAATTCTTTCACAACCACCAGATTCCAAAATGAAGGAAAGGCTTTATAGTAGATCATTCACTTATCACAAACTTAAAAATGGATGAATATTTATAACCTTTATATATTCTTTTAATTTATCATTTTCCTCTTCCTTTTTATGGATTTGGAGTTGTAGTCGTTCATGTACAACTTTAACTGATCGTGCAAAACGGTTGGCTTTCAAAGCATTTGCCTAAAACACAGGAAACAAAAATAAAATGTTATTTGATATATTTCTTTATATATCTTTATAAATCTTTAACTTACCTGCATTCAGACACGATCTAAACAGCTGGTAAAAGGCAAAGTAACACTCCACATAAACGGTGGCACTGGCCCCACCACGCAACTGTGTTCTAGGTCAAGCTATTCGGGACGTTTTCTCCTCCCTCCTTTTATTTAATAGCTCCTAATATTATCTCCTTTTAAAAATTCCTATCTACATTCCTAAGTAAAATATGGGTATATCGAAAATGCTGTACCATACCAGTTTACACATACTTAACACATAGTGATTTAAACCAAGTACCCTGACAGAAGCACCATAAAAATCTAAAAAAAATTTTTTTAAATTAAGATGTGCTATTTGTTACATTATTTGTATATTTGCAAAAACCTTTTTGTGTCTATTTCTGAGGACATGGGAGCCAGGGTGGAGAGAAAGGAGTCAATATTAAGAAAATAGATGAATTAGCCTCAAAATCTGCTTACCTTTTCAGTCTGAAACAAACCAGCAAGTTCTTGGATATAGGCCTCCTTTTCAACTACCTTCTTCTTAAGATCCTTCAGCAAATATAATGTTAGAGTTAAGAACATCATAAACAACGCTGGCTAATTTTATAGCCAAGCAGCATACAAACAAAAAGTTCAGAAGAATAGATACAAGGCGTAAAAAGACTCACCGTATTTTCACTTTCATTATCAGTTAGCTTCTCTAACATGCTGGATAAATCTGTGTCATCGATCTGTAAAAAAATATTACTGTAAGTCAGTGTTCATAAACTATATTTCTCTCTATAAAAAAGTAGAAAGTGAAATAAGCATCAGTTAAAAAAGGAAAAAGGATTCATGGGCATGAACAACTGTGTGGTGATTACTGGGGGAAGGGGGTATAACGGGACTAAACGGTAATGGGAAAAAATACAATACAGGTTAAATTAAAAGACAAACAAATTTTAAAAAAGAAATAAGCATCCATTAAGAAACTAGTATGAATAACTACACTGCACAGTTCAGATATTTTAAAATGTTAACATCAGAAGGATTTTTGCCTAAGTGTTCCAAATCATGTTTTGTCCACAATTTATAAAATTAGTTAATTTAAATAATGCCACAGAAAGTACAAGCCAATGGCATAAAAATCACAAAAATCTTGTATTCAGAGAAAGCTCACAGGGCTGTTAGGGAATAGGTAAAAAATTATAAACAACCTAATTCTGCCAATAAGAATTATTTTTATTCATGGCAAATCAGTAACAGAATTTATATAGACATGTGAAATGAGAACACAGAAGAATGTTTAATCCTTTGAGTGTTATAATCCTGTTTGAGGATGTGGAAAAGCACATATTCAGGGGCATGGAATGCAAAATTGTATTCACAGGGTCAGAGAGGTCATGGACCTTCATGAAGCCCATGCAGATGCTCTATAAGGTCACACAGTGGACCTGCCTGGCATCCGTGTTTTCACTTCTCGGGCTACACACACCTCACAAATGAATGTTCACAGCAGCTTCATTCATAACAGCCAAAAAGGAGAGGCAAACCAAATGGCCATCAAATGAGGAATGGACAAATAAAAGTGGTATATCATACATAAATAAATTCGTAAGTAAAATATTATTTAGCAATAACGAGGAGTGAAGCACTGATACATACTAAGACATGGATGAAATTTGAAAACATTGTTAAATGAAAGAAGGCAGTTAGGAACAACCACATATTAAATGACTCCATTTATAGGACATGTCCAGAATCGACAGATCCATAGAGACATAAAGTACATTAATAGGCTAAGGAGCGGTGGGTGGGAATGGGAGGTAAACTTCTAAAGGGCATGGAGTTTTTTTGTAGTGATGAATGCTCTAAAATTGATTGTGGTGACAGCTAGCTACACAATTCTGTGGATATACTAAAAAGCACTGAGTCGTACACTTAAATGGGCAAATTGTATGGTATGTGAATTACATCATCACAAAACTGTTACCAAAAAGAGAATACATGGCTGTATAAATATAATGTATACAGGAGCTTACATTCTATGAGTATTTTATCATAATTGGCTGAAATGATAACATTATAACAAATAATTGAAGTTTTTGATATAGATAATAAAAATCTTTCTAAAAAATACATTGCTCTCATGTAGAACTATTTATAAAACATTAAAAGTACAGGTTAGTTTAATGACTGACATTTCAAAAAAATCAAGAATTATTTTCATTTTAAATATACCAGTATTTTAACTTCTACAGTTTGAAAAATAATATAGCCTTCAAGTGAGAAATACCGCTATTAAAGTAGTGGTTAATATTCCTTACTTGTTGGTATTCTGGCTTTCTAAAAAGATGCTCTAAAGCTTGTTTTACATGTTTAAATGTATCTAATTCTTTTGTTAATATTTCCTTCTGTTTAAAAATCTTCTTCAAACTGGATGGAGAAACATCAGCCTGACAAAATACAAAAACCACATACATATTTAACACATAGCATTAACACACTCTAAAATATAATGTTACTATCAAAGAGTACTTTTTCCTAGTGACAAAATCATCCTTTTGTACATAGTAATAGTAAGTGCTGCCAAGTTTATTAACAGTAGTAGAATCTGTTATATGGTACATTAAAGTAAAGTGAAATCAAAATAAGAGATTAAACCCTAAAGTATTTCAAGCATTTATTTTAATAAAACTAATAGAATGCAATCTATTTTTTTGCCCTTACCTCAAACTTTAGTACACTGAAATTTTAGATTCCACAAAACATAAAAAACAGATATATTTCATCTTTCAGAATATTTTGGCTTTAAATTTACTATTGAGAAAAGTTGACTCACTAATTCAACTCCATGTAAGTTAAGCACTGAGGTACAGTTTCTAGCTCGGCCTCTTACCAAGTGCATGCCTGAAACGATCTCTGAAGTAAAGAACTATGGAATAAAGAACACCGGTTACCCTGCGTGTTTTAATATCCAATACCAGCACGTGTGTATAGCTACATTAAGATATGAAACCTCAGTTAGTGCAATCTGAGCATTATGTTAGCTTTTCGTTTTATTAAATGTTCACAAGTCAAGTACTCACATTTTCAAAACTAATTTCTTCAATGGCGTCCTTAAATAATGGTAAAAGTAATTCCACAGAAAAGGCTGCCAACTCGGCTTCCTTAAACGTTGCTTCCAACTCAGCCTTTTCATTTAGGATGCCCTGTTTTACACTAATTAGATATGCAGAAACAAAACTGAAGTTAAATCTGTCAAATACACCAGGTATACTTTCATGAATATATATAGCATACCTTTAACTAAATGTTACAGTTGCCTAAACTGCTCTGCAAAATGTAACAGGAAATTGTCACTGAAAATGTAATGGAGTTTTCTATACTACCATATTTTTTCTACATTTAGTATAAACAGAAAGACAATTTTTTAAATGGTAAGTATATAAAACATGGAGACCACCAACAGCAATGCTTTCACTGTGCCACTGGATAATTACTCAACACCCCTTTTCTAGTTTGTAAAGCAATTTGTGGGAGTGCCTGTCTTTTTTTTCTTCCCTTCCTTCTCCCTTACTCCAAACCCAAAAGACTGGTGTTTCTAGACCTTACTCCCAAACCATTTCTTAAAAGTTACTGCTCTTCACAAAATATTCCCCCCAAAGAATGAATAAGCTAAAGAAAAGGATAACAAACAACTATATCTCTCCAGAGATCTAAAAATCCTTCATATTTGGCTTTATAATAATTATCACTTAGAACAAAACTGGTATTTGCCTTCATTATGTTTTACCTAGACACTACTGTGTATTATTCTAAGACACATTTTTTGGGGGGGATACATTTTTACATCCTGAAATCAGGTGCATCTTACAATCCCCCTCCACAGTTCAGGGGGCAGCCTGATCTCTCCATCCTGCTCACACCCCAGGCTTGTAGAAGGAGTATCCAATGCTTTGCTGAATATCCCAGAGACAGGGCGTGAGGCTTGTGTAACCCCTAGGGAGGGAGGGTCATGGACAGAGTCTGCAGGAGCTGGTGAAGGAGGAATGTTTAGCAATATTCCAGAAACAAGACTCCAATATAGGCTTGCTGTATATTGTAATTACAAGCCCAACAGCCAGAGATTTTATTTCAGTTAAAGACGCTCCTAAAAAAATGCCAAGCCCTGGCAGGGAAAAGCGTAAGACGGCCCACCAACGCTCGGTCAGAAGGACAACAGGGGGGTGGGAAGAGAAAAAATAAAAAAATGCCAATCGCCAATATTCTTAATAGCAAGGACAAGTGGAGTCAAAAAGTGACTCAGAAGAGTTGGACTTGAGTAGAGAGAGTTTTGAGAATACCTTAACCCATTTATTATATTTTTTACATTTTATTTTTACATAGGCACATATTTGGAATAAAAACCTATATATAATTAATGAGCTTTTTAATGTTTATAAATAAGATTCCGAGTCTGTATTTAATTGGTAGCTCTTTTCTTTCTTTATGGAATATATATGTAATGGCTCATCAGCATCTGATGGCATCTTAGAGGCTATGTCAAAAAGCAGATTGTGTTCTTAAGCACCACTGGCTTAAAGTGGCGGGCCTAAGAAGATGCTGGCTGTGAATGACAATTGCCCACTATTAAAAACCATGGGCAGAAAGTCAAGAATGATTACATATGAGCGAACATCTTCATTTTTAACAAAGTAAACTAGAAGTTGGTCTGTACCATTCATTGTAACAATAATTGTATTTTATTGTCATTTGGGGGAGCAATGAGTCACATACATAACAAATATATTCCCCGTTCTAAAAAAGCAAAACATGGCAGGTATTTCTTAAACAGCAACATACCAAGTGACAGAGAAGTAGTACTCATTAACTATATAGCCAACATTCCATAATTTATATCTTCCTTTATCTTAGTTAAAACACTTTATAAGTTCTTAATAGGTAAGGTTTTCATTTCTAATTGCTTTCCTTGAGAATCCAAAAAACTAGCCAAATTCTGCTAAATAAGTATATTGTAATCAAATGAAACCAATACATTAATTACTAGACTTGAAGGAGATCTTCTTGAAAAAATGCTGTATTTGATTCAAATAATTTACAATATGGACAAAACATGAAACCCTAAACCCAGAAAATTAGACACCCCCTGTTGTCGAGACTACCAGCTGAGATGACTTTCACTGGCACACTGTGGCTCTCTCTCTGATCTGCTCCTCAAATGGGAGAACAGTTCTTCCGAACGACCTCCACCGCTGGCAGGCTCCTCCATGAATCCGGTCGATGGACTACGGTGGCTTCCACAACAACCTCTCCACACGGGCTGAAAGTCAGGAGATAGTCTAGTTATTAAGCTTATCATTTCACTAGATCCTTTTTTATGTCAATACCCTATAGTAAAAATGGAAAGATGTATAAACAAGTAATATTTCACAAATTAAAACTCCTAACTGCTACTCATTGTGATGCTAATTCGAAATAGTATCCAAGCTGCACAGCACAAACATTCCACAGTGGCCAGTTTCCATACACAGTCTCTAAAAGGCCCGCTACTTTCTGTATAATCACAGAGTGTAGAAACCTTTAGTACTCTATTTTTGAAGCATTATAATAATATCTTAATCCAGTCAGACTAGAAAATGGATATAAAAAACATAGGTTCAGCCCTGGCTGGTGTAGCTCAGCGGATTGAGCATGGGCTACGAACCAAAGGTTGCCAGTTTGATTCCCAGTCAGGGCACATGCCTGGTTGCAGGCCAAGTCCCCCAGTGTGGGCCATGTGAGAGGCAACCACACATTGATGTTTCTCTCCCTTTCTCCCTCCCTTCCTCTATCTCTCTAAAAATAAATAAAATAAAATAAAAAACATAGGTTCACTATAGAACTCAGTTTCATTAGAACCATCCAACAGGAATGTGTATTATATATGCCTAGAATAGTAAAAATTTAACATACTTTTAAAAGTATTTGACAATAATAGCTACAAAGAAGATAAGTTATTCCTTTAAAAGTAGACTTTTCAAAATTAAACTCGTTTACTCCTACTTTCCAGCTCAATCTAGGGTATTTTTTGGTGACAGTGAACAGAGAATGGCACTACTTCTAAGTTTTACTCATCTAATTGCTTCCACTCAAATATGGAGGTGTCATTTTAAATGTGAATATTTATAAATTTTTAAAGCTTTTCTAACTTAAGTAATGCATGTTTCAGCAATCATTAAGGCTGTGTTCTCATAACTCTGGTATACAGTAATGTGTGTTTCTGACTTCATTTTATGTTTATACAAAATCAAATGTTGCATTTAAGATTTTCTGCATTTTTTCAGAGATAGTTACCTCTGTAATTTATTTCTATATATCTGGGTTATAAAATACATATGTTTAAGAATTTTCATACTTTGGGTAAATATAAAATAATAGGTTGAAATTTATTAACAATACTTAATTAGTGATTCAAAAACCTTCCAAAGTATCTATAAAAAGGTATCTATTTTTGTCTGAAGATTCTATGTACCACAGAGGCAAATATTTAGGATACAGGCCAAAGAGAAGCACACTCATATTTTGGAAATGCCAGCAACTCATGTCCAAATGAAACAGCTGACTAACCTACAGATAATCTAAAATAATCTAACCAAATGCTGCATACATGCTACACCCGTTATTAGAGAATAACAATACTGGAGCTATCTACAGTCTAGAAGAATTATAAATATAGAGAGACACAAAATCAAGGACACCAAGCCTAAAAGTAAAGAAGAATTTGCTCTGGATAAATCACTGCAATCAAGAAAATTATCTACCGATTTGTTCAGTTTCAATAGCTTCCCCACTCTGAGAGGAATTGGTATTTATCTTTCAGCCATCCATTTGTTTAAACATTTGCTTCTCCGCATGCTGGCATCTCACGAAAGAATGTCTTATTTATATCTGAATCCTCAGTACCTATGAGCCTTGTAAAAGCCGAGTAATAACTGAAGGAGAGAACTTAAGGCACAGAGCAGTTAATGAGCAGGATGAATAAAGACTGTTCTTACTCGTTCACATTTTGATTCATCTTGTGCGAATCATTAAAAGAAAAACAGTTTCCATCTTTGCAATAAAATTTCAAAAATAATGTGAGTAGATAGGGAGCTTCAATTTGTAGGAAATATTTTATGAGATAAGATTCGGTTTGGTCGAAGTATTTTATAGACGTTCTTACTTAGTCTTGTCGTCTTCTGACAGCTACTTATACAATATTCCGAAAAAACTTATCACAAGATAAAATCACACAACCATTTTCTTCTTCATCACTTATAAAATAAAAGTAATTGTGTCTTATATTAAAGGATAAACAAATAAAAGCAACACAATGTAAAAACAGATTTTAGAATGACTTTGGCCCAACATTCTAAAAGGTTATCTTCATTACTGATTCCTCAAAACGTGAAATAGAGAACTGTGTAAGTGAAGTCGCAAGTACTTCCAGAGAAATAATCAACAATCAATTCTTACAATCTAGAAATATTTTCCTGGACAGAAATCATTTAAAGGTTCCAAGATACTACGCCACTTTTGTGTTGTGACAATACAATAACCAAAGACATGTGTGCTGAACGACAATGCAGTAATTTTCTTCAGCATAAAAAGTCCTACCTTATAAAATCATTTTAGTGGACCAAATGTATTCTTGCATGGAAAAGCAGATGTTTCAAAAGAAAATGTTTTCAATTATGTAGTATATACTGCCAATTGACAAATGTATAAACAATACTTTTGTACAACTTGCTAGTGTTGAAACAAAGACACATATTTTGCACACATATTTAGTGACCAAATCCCTAAAGATTAGAGATTCTAAAATATTTTTAATGTTTAGAGGATTAAATTTCCTATACAGAGATGACTTTACCAGTTCCCTACCAAAAGGCATGTACTTAAAGCTTTTCCCAGGAGTGGTCATGGGTTTATGCTGATCCAGCTACACTTACTGAACTATGTTCCATTTTGGCCAACAACAAACATTTGAGAGATGGCTGCTCAGGGACCGCGATGCTGGCCACGGTCAGAGAAAAGAATGGTCACAGTCCATGACCTTCCTTAGCACCTAGATTGTTTTAAGTAAACTAACCAGCTACAGACAAATATGTATTTAAAACCAATCTCTGATGAGAAAAGTGTATTAATATTGCAGGTTTCAATTATTTGCTGCCAAACATTAATTCTTGGAAAATTAGCTTCCACTGGCTTCACACAAAAGCATAAATCTTCTACAGAAAAAAATCCACTATGAAATATTCCACAAGGAACACAAAATAGATATAAGAATCCTGCTCTTCTCTCTCACTATTCTAGACACCGGTCAAAAGATTACTAGCGAAGTAATTGTACAGCTTTTTACACTCCGTAGTGAAAAAAATGTATAGGAAATTTGAAAAGAAGCAAAGAGTAACAACTTACTAAAGGTAGAAAATTGATCTTATGAGTAAAAGCTACTGTAAATGAAAAAAACATTTTCTGATACAGTTTATCTTAGATACAGTCCTGCAGCACTTAATGATGGAGATATGTTCTGAGAAATGCACCATAGGCAATTTCATGACTGTGCAAACACCACAGATGTACTCATACAAGCCCAGGTGGAATAGTCCACTGCTCCCAGGCCACAGGCCTGTACAGCACGTTACTGCACAAAACTACACAAAATGATATCAAGCACAAGAGAAATGATGTAATCTAGAAACATGCTAAACAGATGTATGAGGCTGCTGCTGGCGTAACACAGTGTACTCTTTTACAGCACTTTTTTATAAGTAGAAAAAGAGTACACTCCAAAATAAAAATAAGTGTGGTACTGTGAATACAGTAACAGAGTTGTTTATTATCATTATCAAGTATTATGTACTGTACATAATTACATGTTATATTTTTATGTGGCTGGCGGCTCAGGAGGTTTGTTTCAACAGCCTCACCACTGACACGTGAGTATGTGTCACTGACACTGGGACGGCTAGGACATTACCAGGTGACAGAACCTTTTCAACTCCATTACAATCCTATGGGACCAGCATCATTTATGCAGTCCAATGTTGACTGAAATGTCATTATACAGAGCATGACTGTAAATAACTAGCTAAATCCTCTATGAATAAAGTAATTTAAATATAAAACGGGGAAAAGCTGACAGCAAGAATGACTGATTTGTAAACACTGGACTCGTACTTCATGCCCCAGTCTCTGTTCCTTCCCCAAGTATTTCCCTGACTGCTCCCGACCGTCAAGAATCCTAAACATCTAATAGTATTTTCAGAATCATACAGTTTAGAATTTAATTGCTCCATCGTGCTCATATTTTTGCTGACTTTTAACTTGCCACTAAGTCTGTAGGAGCAAATATCACACCCATCATCCTCGGCCCTCAAAAACGACCTAACACAGTGAAGGGTGTAGGTTAGGTTCCAATATATGTTTGGTGATCAAATAATTTGTTATGCAAACTGAGGCATTTTTTAAAAGAAAGAGGCCCCATATAAAAGCCCAATTACCTAGAAGAAGACTGGCCCAAAGTTGTTCAGAACATTGCCTAATCCCAAGCAAAGCAAGCATCCTTTATCAGATAAATTTAAGGCATTTCCATCCCTTCAACATGAGGACAATTGTCCATTATTAATGGAGCACTGACTGATCTTATACACATCATCTCACAAAAATCCTTACCAGGTTGCTATTAATATTAATATTCAAAAGGTACAGATGAAAAAACAAGTTTTAGAAAAGTTAAATAGCTTGCCCAAGAGTTTAAGTAAGGAAGTGGTAGAACTCAATTGTGAACCAAAAACCATAAGATACTAAAATATAAATAAATATGATAATCTACACAGCAGAAAATAACATACAAACTCGCCTTAATCCAGTCAGGTTTCAACCACACTATTATAAATTCAGTTTATATTTAAAAATAAAAAATGCTCCGTACAAGTAAATAATGAGTAAGACTGAACTCTTTGAAGGCAGAGACCACAAGTCCAAAGAGAATCCACGCAGCAAGGGGACCACTGAACTCCAGTGTGCTAACGGCTGTGACAGGGAACTCGTGACGTGCCATGAGCATGTACAGGAGGATACCTAACACCAACTGGCAGGATCCTGGAAGACTTCCTGGAAAGGTGGAAACTTGGTCAAGTCCTGCAGGACAAGTCTTTTTGCCTTTGGCCAAACAGAACAGCAAAAGGCATTCCAGGTAATGGGCAAAGTACCAGGAAGAACAAAGGAATCATGAGGGAACAGGCATTGCAAAGATGAGACTGGACAGGCTGAAAATAGTATCTGTATGCTAAACACAAGAGCTTGAATTTTTTCCTACAGGTTAAGACAAACCATTAAATAATATTAAGCAGGGGAATAACAGATTAGAAGTGCATCTTTAAAGACAAATCAAGTGGTATTTTGGAGAATGGACTAGTCGTATGAAAGGGAGGAAAGCAGAAGCAGTGAAACTAATTATTAGGGTCTCAAAGAGATGAAATGTCAACATTCTTTCCTATAAAAATTTTGAAGAAATCAAAGTTGTTTCCACTGGTGATAAAAAAAAAATATGAAGAACACCAAAAGAATCAGAATTAGAATGCCAGACTGGCAAGAGATCAGTACAGAAAGAAGTGATCAAATGTAACACCTCATTTACCCATGACCATCTGAATCAATTGCTCCACATACAAGTTCCAGAAAATGATAGTTTACCCCTGTAAGTACCAAAATTAACTTAGACCAGATTGAAGAAAATCTTTTAAAAGTATTATTTTTTCCCTTTCAAACGTAGCACAGGTAGACTGAATATAAGTAAAACCATTCCTTGATGACCCGCATGCAGCATATTAAATGGAAAGAATATTGAGCAAGACTCATCAGTTTTTGGTTCTTATGAGCCACCTGACATGGGCAACCCTTAGCTACAATGGGCCTTGGTTTACAAAATGAGACTAATCTTTGCCAGCCAAAGCTGTGCTGGGCTCCAAACAAAATGAAGTAGAAGCACGGACAGGCGAGGGGGTTTTGTTTGTTTTAGGGCCTCTTTGGTTCACTGTGTTGGGGCTGCTTTCCCATCACACCTTTCCTTTAAATTTTGTCATCCTTTTTAAAAATAATCATCCCGAGTCAACTGCCATTCCTGAAATTACTTGCAGGTCTGAATTATCTGTATAGAACCAACTTTTAAAAATAATTTTTGAGACCTATTCTTTGCAGAATTATTACAAATCATCTTCAGTGTAGTCATAAATTGACTACTACTGAAAATACCACTAAAGTACTAGTAAACCAGAACCCAGGGAAAACAATTACTAACTTCCAAAAGAATTGTGCGCAGCAGGTGGATGTTATGCCAACTTCATTGCTATACCCAGCTCCCCAGGACTCATTCATTTGTACAGACAAGCGCAATGATTAATAGTAATATAAACAGCTATTTTCTCATTCTTTTGGGCGTTTCGGATACAAAAACACTACTATTTATACACACAATTGCAAAAGCAGAGAAAAAGGAGAAACAAAAAAATGGACACCTGTTAAAGAATCACAAACATGGTATTTTTATTTTAAGCAGAAAGCAATCAAACTAATTTTAAAAGTAAATAGGCTTCTTGAGGTTTGTTCCTTTAACCGCAATTAACCCGGTGATGCTTAGAACTACTCCAGTTACCTCATTCATTCAAAAACACCTGAAACGATACTATGCTTGAGGTTACAAGGAAAATGTCTCCTCAGCAGACTTTATTCTCAACACCAGCCACCATGTGGTTTCTCTGTAAACAAGCAGCACCTTTTATTAACCATGGACACTCAAAACCTGGCAATGATTTACTTAATCTCTTTTATTACAACCACTCCAAAGTGGCTCTTATTGTCCTCATTTTACAGAAGAGGAAACTGAAGCAAGGACTGATAAATGACCTGCCCAAGGCCACACACCTGAAAGGATTTCCTACAGGCTGGAACCCAGGATCTTGGGGAAGGAATTATTTCCTGAGGCTTCCAGAATAGTTCTTCACTTATGGAGCCTTAGGGCCTGCTACGGTCTGCTATACTATATAGTGGGTGCTTAAAGGCCAGCCGAATGAGTAAAACCAGTATTTCGTAGAGAAATACTGTCAAGTCCGGCCGGCACGGTCAGGGATTCATTCATTAGCCCAAGATACCCGCTCTGACGTCCCAGGGACAACAATCCTTCCTAGCAGTATCTGAGCCTTGCAGCCTTTTTCCCAGCCCAGGCAACCAGTCTCCGGGGAGTGGAGGGTGTGGGCACAGAGGGGGCGGGATGTGGTCGCGCCTTGGATAAACTCCAGCGTCTTTCAGTTCCGGGATCCACCACGGCCACCGCACCCAGGGCCCAACCGCAGCCCCCAGTAACGCCCCAGCGGTCTTCTAAACCCAAACTTCCCTCTCCCAAAAAACGCTCCTCTACGTCAGCACGTCGCCGTGACGTTAGTCCGTCGCTGCTCGGCAAATAGAGGGCTTCGAAGGGGCGGAAAATGCCGCTGTTCCGCGAACGTTAGTGAAGCCGGGAGTAACGTACCTGTGATCTCCAGCCCTGGGTCAGGTAGGAGGGAGCGGGAGGCCGCGGGCTGTGCAGTGGATGAAAGCTAGAAAGGAAGGCTAGGGACCTGGGGCGGAAGCAAGCGAATTCCTAGAAATGCATGGGGTGGAAGAGTACCGGCTTAGATGCAATGGGACCAAAGCAAAGCTAGTAACTAGCGTGTAGCTTCTCTGGCAACCGCCGCCCCGCCCCTTCCGTCTGGCACAGATGGTGTAGCCAATTGGCTAGGCTCGGAAAACCGGTGTCGGGTGTGTTGCTATTGGTGGAGTAAGGGGCGGGGCCTGGGTTTGGCTATCTCTCCTTTGCTGCTCTGGTTAAACTTTTTCCCCCATGCCTTTTGTTTTGCAGCACTTGTAGTTACCAAAAGTCTTACCTGAGCTCAATCAGAAGTGGAAATAAGACTGATAGATTGCAAATGTTCTGACGCTTGGCCTGGAAGTGCCCTGCTTTTGCCTTAAAAAATTTTTTTTTAAATTTATTGGTGAGGGAAAGAAACGGATTTGTTGTTCCACTTATTCATGCGCTCATTGGTTGATTCTTGTATGTCCCATGACTGAGGGTCAAACCTGCAACAGCCGATATCAGAATAACTGTTCTAACCTGCCACCTTGATCAGGGCTGCTTTTTCCGTTTAAAGGGGAGAGTTTAAAAAGCCAAGGCAACCGCTACTGGAGCCACTGCCCATTTTAAATGTATGAAATTGTTAACTGGAATCCTTCCCTCTGTCTGTATTTTCTTTGGTTAACTGAAAGAGCCTGAGAGTTATCTCCGATATACCTTTCAGGTCTCATTTCTTTGTATTTGTGGTAGAGCCAGCTGGTATGGTTTAAAATCTCCACAACAAGCGAGGCCAGATTTTATTTGGAAAAGTATAAAACTTTATCCATCACCTCAAAGTCAATGTTAAGGATTGTACACCATCATATTCACAAATAGAAAACTATCAACTGAGCAATATAACTATGGTATACCTAATTGGTTTTACTAAAAAATATTTTCTATTTATGTTTTCAGCAATGCTTTTTCTTCCACCAGTGTGATTGTCTACTCAAAAGTTAATGAGAATTGAAAGTTCATTCAGAATAAACACAGTTGTTTCATACATGCAAATAAAAAGCACTAGGGACTGGAGATTTAAGTATCTACTCTCACTGATGGATCATGACCTCTGGCAAGTCGACTGTTTTGGTTTTTTTTTTCCACAAAAGGGAAAAGAAAAAAAAAAGAAAAGAGTCAAAGTTGGGGAAAGATACATAATTCCAAGGGTTTTTCCAACATTAACCTAGGATTCTAGCTAACCTTGCTAATTTGTCATAATTAGCAAAATAATTGTAAACATAAATTAGATTGATCTTATGAAATATACTTATTTTAAATAGGTATTAGATGTAACCACCTTTATAACATATTCAAGAGGAGACATTCAAGAGGAAACATTCACAAAATCTCAAAATGATTACATAAGGTTATCAAATTGACTATTCTAACTGAATTGTCCAGGTAAACACCGGACCCCTCATTCACTAAATCTAGTCTGTTCCTGAAATCTTGTAGCATAGTCAATTTTTAGGAACCTATCTCATTCTATCGTTGTTTAAATGGAAAATAATTCATTCTAGCCCATCCAAATACCCCAATCAAGAGACCTAGCAGGTTCTTACTTTTCTCATTTGGAATCCAGGTTCCATATAAGAAATCCAGTTATCCTGCTGTGGAGCAAAATGCAGCTGGATCCCAGCTGTTAAAGTCACTCATCTGAAGTGCCAGACGTGTTAGCCATTAACTTTCAACATGCAGCCATGTTTCCTTCGAGCGCAGCCATGTGAGTGACCCTAGCCAACCCCATGATCAAAAACGATGAAAAGAGAAACAACTTCCATTTTGAAGGGATAAATTAATATGGCCACACAATTGAGCCAAGAAAATTCAGAGGTAGCAGAAACCCAAATTTTCATAGGGTTTATCTCCCACTATCTCAATTGCATATGTTCTTTCCAATGTATTTTGGGTTTCTTTTAACAAACTTGGTGGTGTGAAACAACAAATTTTATTCATGATTCTGTGGGTCAGAAATTCAAGCAGGGTTCAGCTGGGTGGATTTTTCCCCCTCCCTGTGGCAATAGCTAGGATCTCCTATCAAGATGCAACCAGATGGCTGCTGAGGCTGGAGTACCAGAAGATACTGCTGCCATATCCTTATATTTTAAATTCAATATTCTATTCTCTGGAGATAAGCATTTCTTTGGCTGACCAAGAGAAAATGAGGCATGGGTATGAAATTTCCTTCTTTAACTATATTATTGTTTGGCTCTGGTTAAAGGGTTTATTAGAAGCTTTAAGAATAAGTGTAAGGGATTTAAGTCTCATGGCATAAAGATGCTGTGTGGTCATAAAGAGTATAGACACTCCTTTATTCTTCTATTGTTTGGAAATCTAACTAGAAATTAATTTAGAAGTTAGTTAACCATTTAAAGAAAACTCAGAAAATAGTGGATTCACAAGTGTCAAATATGAAGGAAAAATATTCTTAAGTTACACTGTGGGCTTTGGAGGCAGAAGATCAAAAAGGCAGGGATACAAATATAAAATTGGTAATAGTTTTATTATGGTCTAATATTCATTCTAAGAAAATCTTCAGAAAGATTAAGGGTTAGCTTTGTTGTTTGCTTTTTAAATTTGTATGTTAGGCTAGTCTATGTTGCAACATTATTCAACAGGTCTTTTCTCCCCTCCATTATTGAAGTAAGCGTGATCCTTTTGTATAAAAGAGAAAATTACCTGGTCGACATTTTGCCTCGGAGGTGAGAATAATATTAATTTGTTCATCAAAATATCATATAGTTTATATATTAAACCATTTTATATACATGTTTGCAAACCTTGGTACTTTCTACAAATGCCAATGCTATTTCCCGAAGTGCTTTTACCAGTTGTAGCATTTTTGGAAGTAACAGGATACCTGAGTAATGATGGCTTACAGAACTGGAATTTCATTTCATCACACAGTGAGAAGCCTGGAGTTAGGCACTCCCCAGACCCACTCAGCTGTCACCAGTGTCATCAGGGACCCAGGACACACGCTCTTCACCCTTTCAGCCCTACTCCCTTCACTTTCTGACTGCCCTCCTCACCTTCCACAACCGCCACGCAGGCTCCCTCAGCCTCTGGCACTCTTATGGGAAAGAAGGGTGGGATTTTTCTAGACATTTCCCTTTTTCATGGAGGAAAATCTTTTCCATAAAGGATCCCAACAGCACCACCTCCTCCTCCAACTGCCTCCTGCTTGCAGACTAGTCCTTGAGTTACTGGCTAGAGTCAGGATCACATGGTTGGGTCCCAGTACGAGGGAGGCTTGGAAAAATAAGCATCAGACATTTTTGACCCCTTCATAAACATGTTCCGCCAGCATGAGAGAGAAAGAGGCTGAGTCTTGGGTAGGAAACTAACAGTGCCCAAGCAGGTGCCACACACACGGGGAAAAGGTCGTAATTAATATGGATTAATATTCATTAAACTCTTACTCTGACCTGGATGCTGTTTCAGTCCCTACATGAGCTATTTAAACTTTACGCCAATTTTACAAATAGGCATGGAGATATTTAATAACTTACAAAAGGGGTGCGCAGAGCTGTGATTTCAATCAGGCTGACTCGCTTCAAAGCCCAATCACTTAACCATTTCACTGCTGCTTCTACATGATTATTGTAATACAGGATTAAAGGCGAATACCAATAAAACATGTAATACAAAGCAGAAGTGGCAGGAAATTTTAACATATTCTTAGATTCTAACATTTTAGAATTTTATGCGGAGAGAAAACATGTATGTGATATAAGGACATTTAGGATAAATCATGACACAAAAAATAAATTAATTTGTTATTCTTGGCTGAAAAGATAAACTATTAAAAAGATTTTTTAATTGTCAGTTCCTCATAATTATTGGTTTTAAAAATATTCCCAATATTTTTAGAGTATGAACATATTTAAGCTTGGCTACAATGTATCAGCCATTGTACAATATTTATCTTTAAAATTATTGTGTTTTTAATAACCAATTCTACCATATTAAAGAATTGATTGAGATTTTTCCTTTTTCCTACCTACATGACCCTAAAGAATCTCTACTCAAAAACATCCCATTACTTCCTAATAGAGGAAAAATACAAACAGCTGTGTAGTAAAAAAATACATTCTAATAATATTTTTTTAATTGATCCCTAGCCTATTTGGGGGAGAATAGAAAAAAGGCAGAGGAGTAAGTACTCACATGGGAGACACAAAAAGAACTGATGAGTAATAAGGTCTAAAGAAAGAAGATGAAAGATGGTCTCAATTTAAGCATGGCCTTCATTGGAATTTTTGAGTAAGCCACAGCCAAATCTCTTGAAATAATCACTATAGGAGGTTAGTCAAGAAAACTGGGATCAAAGTAGGTGCTAGAAGCTATGGGATTTAGGAAAAACTTGAAACCTTAGCTATGCCCAGCTAGTTAAATGGAAATAGCAACTTTAGGGAATAGGAAAGACATCACAAGAAAAAGAACGGTAGAAGAGTAAATATTTTGACTGAATTTAGAGGAAACAGAGATGAGCTGGAGTGGCTTTTGAAGCCATCCAGGAAGATGCGTGCCTAAGCCAGAATAGTGTTTAAAACTTATTGGCCAGAATCCCTCTTGGGGAGAATATTTTATAAATGTTTGAGGGGAGGGTGGGGGAGGCCACCTAATAATCCTCCCACCTTCCCGGTTTCTTGTGGTGCCAGGAATTAAAAGAGCAGGGTGCTGGCTGTTTGTGACCAGGTAGGTTTCGTTGGTGGTGCCTGGCTGGTTCGATTTTCTCTTGAAAGTAGGGAAAAGGGAGAAAGAAAGATGACAGTCCCTCAAGATGGAAAGAGGCTGAGGTAACCTGGAGGCCAGAGGAGCTCCGTCCTCATAGAAAATCATTTAAAGAATGCTGAGACCTTCGGTGATGTAAACGTTTTGTTTTATTTTTCTGTGACAGATACCTCTTTAGCTTCCCCATCAGCTTTTCAGTAAAGTCTAAATTTCTCACAAAGACAAAACATACATGTGTCTTTGGAAAACTCAAAATGCTTACCTCTGCAACACTGGGGAGCACAGCCCAGCACATGTGGATCTGGGGAACAGGAGCTCGGAGGTGCCAGGTGTCCAGAAAGTTGCAGGAATCTCGGAGGGGAACT